AGTTTCCACTTCAATATTCGTAAAATTATTACACAATTTGAAAGATTTGTCATATGTCTGTGCTCCTGTCTGCATCTCATGACATTAAAGAAATACTGTGTGTATTTTCACAAAGTAGTGATTCATGTTCACAACCTATTTTGTGCATTCTTGAAATGTGTGTCTGTGTCATAAAGTACATTATAAATGTATACAAATATAATCTACATAGTTTTACTGTACTGTTACACAGATAGAGCTAGAGTACACTTTAATGTCAAGTATTATCATATTATCATCTTTACCTTGATGCCAATAGAGTGCAGTTGCAAAAAAACAATATGTATTATTATTATTATTATTATTATTATTATTATTATCATCAGTAGTAGTAGTATAGGTATCAACAAGAGTACTTACATACTAATGGTCCTGCCCTCTGGTGGCCAATGTGAGTAACTGCATAACAATATTAAATTGGCCAAATTCGCGTCACTGCTATGACAGCATGATAACACTTCCGGTGAGTTCTTTCAAAATACAGTGACTAAACTAAAACAAATGGACACAAGTGAAGTGAAATGACCAGTGCTGTTAAACACTGTGACCCCTGCAACGATGCTCAACCTCTTACATCGATATGTCAATACACTCCAGCAGCGTCACGGCTGATGTAATCGTTCATTTCCGGTGAAGACATTCAAAATAAAACATTGAAATTAGGCAGGAAGAGTGAATTCGCGCGGTGTCAAACGGGGCTGTTGTTGTGGTAACGACGTAACGGTGCGTCGCTCTGGGTGTTGACCATTGACTGGCAGAGCTCAAAGGTTCAAGCGGAGATTTAATCGCGACACTTTAGGAAAGGGCGGCACCTCAACGAGCACCACTCAACAACAACTAAGTGTTTTCTTCCCGCGACTCCTGTAACTGTCAACGGTGAGTTTGGGTTTAAATGAACGGCTGACAGCTAATTATCTTCGGATTTTAACACGGTAAAGGTGTTAATGTAACTTACTAACTAGCGTTTACGGTTTACTAGCGCAGTTAGCCTGCTAGCATTAGCTGCTGTAACTTACTGAACTCTGCTTTTGTCCTCCCCACCGCCTGGACCTCATTAGTGCTCATGTTATTGTGTCATATTTTCCACGAAACTCGGTTACTGCTTACCAGGCCGTGGCTGAGTGAGGCAGTACGGGGTTTGTGAGGTTGTATGAAGGCAGCTAGACTTTCACGTTACATGTGTTTACGGCGTAGCGTTTATTATTTAACTAATACCTCCGTGTTGAGCCAGGTCGTGAAGGTGAGATAATATAATTTACCTACCTACTTTGTTACACACATTTGTTTTCGTTGTGTCTTCTCTACGCGGTGCTACTACTCTTCACTAGCATCTCCACCATTTTACACACCACCGTCAATTATGGTGCGTTCACAAGCTTACAGTAACATGTTTGGTTCCCACAGTAATGCTCCTCTCTGCCTGTGTTATTTCTCAGACATGGCTGCTCAGTGTGTGACCAAGGTGGAGCTGACTGTGTCCTGTGACAATCTCCTGGATAAAGACATCGGCTCCAAGTCCGACCCTCTGTGTTCTCTGTTAATGAGCAGCTCTGATTCCCAGTGGTATGAGGTCCGTGACATTTGACTGGCTCTGCATCAGACTGCATAAAGATCCACAGTTGATATTTATGAGCTTATATAAAACTGCTAAAATCTGGTTTATTATTTTTGCCTGAATGTGAAACCAAAACATGTCCAAAACGTTTATTTTGAAAGGTAAAATGCATCCCTATCTCCTCTGCTATGGGAAACTGATTGTGCAGGTTATGTAAAGTGTATATTGTGACTAGGTGTGACAATTGCATCACTTTTCCACTTGCAAGAGAAAATCTAAGAGCATTGTTAATCGTTAACTCCAGATGGGAAAAGTCAGTGTTGTGTAAAGCAGCGGCTGCATCATGTCCACTTCCTGTTTCACCAGTGCATGTGTGCAAATACATACCAACTTTACCACTTGAGTTCACAGCAGTGTTATTTCTCAGACTCCTGGATCTCATTGCAGTCCAACCTTTCCTAACAGGTGGGACGAACAGAGCAAGTCCAGAATTGCCTCAGCCCAAAGTTTGCCAAAAAGTTTGTCATCGACTACTACTTTGAAATAGTGCAAAAACTGAAGTTTGGGATTTATGACATCGACAACAAAACTGTCGACCTGAGTGACGATGACTTCCTGGGACAACTGGAGTGCACCCTGGGCCAGGTAATGCGCTCCTCTCTTCTTCTGGAAGGACACGACTCGGTGTTCACAACACATGTTCATACAGAGTCGTCCTAAATCCGATAATTGTGTTGATCAGGGTGTGCTGAAGGTTACACGCACACATACTGTAGTGTAATAACACACCACTGTTTGACCATGTTAGAGATGAAGCATGAACGTCCTTGATAAGCAGTTGCTGTGTCGACTCTCTCTGTGTAATCTGACCCCAGATGTTCATTGTACCTGTTTGTTCTGGCTGTTTGCCTTGTTGTCTTGAGACTGCTGTGTTGTACTCATCCACCTCTCTGCTGGATTCAACTATTCATGCTGCTGCTGCTTCTTTCTTTCAGGTTGTGTCCAGTAAAAAACTGACCCGACCGCTTGTCTTGAAGAACAAGACCCCTGCAGGAAAAGGGACCATCACAGTGAGTGCCAGAGAGAGAGAGAGAGAGACAGAAATGTTGTTTGGCTGTATTTTTATTCCCCTGTTATTTATTAATTTGTCCCCTATTCTGCTGTAGATCAGTGCAGAAGAAATAAAAGATAACAGGGTGGTGAATTTTGAAGTTGAAGCAAGGAAACTAGATAACAAGGTATGGGTAATTCTTCTTATTCTTTTAGATATTGTCTCGATCTATCTACATTTTACTTATTGGTGTGTTTTATTCCTATATTCATTCACAGGATTTCTTTGGGAAGTCCGACCCTTACCTGGAATTTTACAAGCAGACAGAAACTGGATGGCAGCTGGCTCACAGGACAGAGGTACACATGCTCATTTTGTGTTGTATTGTAATTTTAAAGATCCCCTCCAGACCTGTATTGAGGTATAAAGACAAATAGTCTATTTGGAACAATAAATTGTGTCATATTGTGCACATATAACATCCAGCTGTAGGAACAAGATAAAAAAGCATGTTGTTGAGTGCAGGGGGACTTCAATTTCTTTCCTGTCACAACTCAATGGTCCATTTTCCAGAAGAGTTAAATAAAACTGTGAAGAGATGTTAGTTAGTAAGTTGAAGCTGCTACACTGACCATGGAAGACGGAGTAACCTGTGCTGTGTCAGATCTGTACCCATGGATTTCAGCCGTAACACTTCCATTTCTTGTTTTCACTCATCTGTATGAAAAGAGGAACCACTGTCCGACTGTGTTACACCACATTCACAGCCATTGCAATAACATGTATGTTGGGCCGTACTCCCTTCTGTATAATCACAAATCAAAGTCGTACAGTTGGAATAAATGCCCCACACACACTCTCTAGATTCTGTAACCCCCTTCCTGTGCTCTCCCCAAACCACTGCACTGTCGCAGGCCAATTCAGTTTTTACCAACAAATGTGATGTTGTTATGGTGTTATTGTGAATGAGGAAGCAGACGAATCACATTTGTGGGTGAGATTGAATTAGAGAACTGTGTTTTGCAGACATTTTTATTAGATGAAATGATGATGAATATGATTTTAAATCTGACCATCTGACTATGACCCTGACCTGGGTGTCAAGACTGAAGTATGTATTGAATTTAGACCTTCAGCATCCTATTTTGCAATAATCTGTATCATGTTTTTTGCCCTTTATAACCACTCACCTTAATAAGTGCACATGATCTGAGGGGTTGACAGAAATAGGAGCTCACCAGACCCAGTTAGACTAGTTTATTTAATTTTAAACACATTTAAACACCAAAAACGGATGTGGGGACAGTGGCCAAAGATGTAAAGTGTTTTTAAGAGTAACTTCTCTTAAATTTAAGTGTTTTGTGTTGTGGATGGTCCTTGCCATAAAGGACAGATATTTTCTTAAATAGACCAACTGAAGTGTAATAGCTTTTGTTATCTGCTAAACCATACATATCTACTCTTTAAATCACTAATGGATAGCGTCTGTTCTGTGTCTACGTTGATGGCAACCTTCTTTCCATACAGCCAATACAATGGTATCCCTCCAGCTGGCTGAGACAAAA